AGGTATTTATATTTAGTAAAGTATCATGCACATTGATTTACTTGCTAATTTCGGTGAGGATGATGATGAGGGAGAGAGTATATGTGAAAACATGATAGGAGAAAGGGAATTTATAAACTGAAAGTATCAACTGAAATGGTTATAAAAACATGATCTTACTTACTGAAATAATTGAAACAGAAGCTTTTAAATTATTTTCAGTAATACTTGATGTTATTACAGCAGAGGTAGAAGTATCTAAGAAAAAGAAACAATAAATACAAACATGATAATAATACATACTGATCTCGACAGTAACTAATGGAAAGTCATTGTTTACTGTACTAAGTATTTCAGATATTGCTGATGGAGGAGAGTCTAGACTATTATTGATTCGTAAGTTAGTTGGTCCACTCTCTCTCTGTTCATATAAAACTAATCTTTCCCCATCAGTTCTATCACTATAAACACCAAATATGTCTCCTTCCTGGAACTGCAGTGGAGTCTGAGGAATAAACTCATAGAGATTAGTACCAATCATTGTATTAGCATTAACTAAACTAGATCCTATTTTAGTGTAATTATTGGGACCCAGTTGACGCCATATTTGGAGCTCAGGTTGACTTAGATTTCCATTATATCTAGCTCCAAAGATCCATTTAGTAACTGATCCATTACATGAGAATACAATCCATGGATAAATGAATTGGCTTTGGCGAAAGAAGCCTTGTGACCTTTGTACTTCAAGTGCTTTCTCTTTAATAAATGAAGCATTGATTGAATTGGTACTATTAACACAGTATCCATCTAATGATAGTAAAATAATTCAATGATACAGTGAGTGTGTGTCTTACCTGTTACTGGATATACTAATATCAACTGGTTTGTGATTGGACTTTTATTTAAGTCAACATGTGTATCCCCATAGCTAAACTCTTGACTATTTGCTGTTATACCACTGATATAGTAGACTCTAACAGAACTGTCTCCTTGAGTCAGTAGTGATACAGCTAACAGGTCTCCACTCATTACTGGTATAGGAGGATTGAGTGGATATTCAAACACTCCACTAGTACTGACATTAGAGGGA